TTGGAGCCACATTTTGTTAGGCCCACAGTCTCCAAACGTACCCGAACGATGCGCTGTTGCCACATATAATTCAAAAATCTCGATTAAACTGAAGAGGTTATTGTGGCCCTAACGAGACACTCTCATCTTGATCAATCCACGTTTCTTTCAATCTACATTTCGTTGCACCCACATCTCGTTGGGCCCAGTTCTCGTTGGACCCACATTTCGTTGCAGCTACATCTCGTTGCAGCCACATCTCGTTGGGCCCAGATTCGGCGACCCAGGTTCAATGCCTGAGAAGGTCGGCATTTTTTTATTTTGTTTTCTCAAGTGATTTTCCGAAAAATATAATTTTTAGGAAGAAGGTTCATTTAGGCCGAGTAAGGTTAGTTGGTTTAAAAAAGTAGTGTCCTTTTTCATGCAGAGGAATATTTTCCTTCCTGAAAAAAGTACTGTCTTTTTAGGAAGAAGGTTTATTCAGGCAGAGTAAGGTTAGATGGTTTTGAAAAAGTAGTCTCCCTTTTTATCCTTCCTCGCTGAAAAAGTACTGTGGAGGCATTTACTGTGCTGTTGAGGCTGATAGTGATTCGCTATTTCGATGATATTATTTCAGGATCGGTCGTGAGCGAAGCTCATGGCCGGAAATTTTTTATTAACTTGATTCTGCACCAATTAAGGGTATTGGTTATTTACCTGTGGCTCCAACGAGATGTGGCTGTAACAAAATGTGGCTTCAACGAAATGAGGCTCCAACGAGAAGTGGGTGCAACAAAATGTGGTTTGAACGAGATGAAAGTATACCGCAATGTCTCGTTAGAGCCACAATATCTTTCTCAGTAAAATAAGGAACCTTGTGGCAACAGCGCAGCTTTCGGGTACGCTCGGAGACTGTGGGCCCAACGAAATGTGGCTCCAAAGAGATGTAGCTGCAACGAAATGTGGCTCCAACGAGAAATGGGCCCAACGAGATGTGGCTGCAACGAGATGTGTCTGCAACGAAATGTGGCTCCAACGAGATGTGGCTGCAACGCGGCGCACTCCATATTTCGTCAGTATCTCAGACCAGTCCTCCCGTTTGATTGCATGAATCCAATCTTCATGCATTATTTTAGAAATTTTACGAGTATTCCTATCAGCTCCTATTGCAGAAGGAATTCCGACGATTATCTTCTGAAATATCAACAATTGTACCTCCCTTGGCAGTCCCCGCGAGATAAACCCGTCGAGTTGAGGCTTCGCACCCCTTCGTGGTCACTTTGGAGACCTGCAGAACATCTCTCTCCAAAGACTCGTTCATCCAACGAACAGCGAGGCTTTGGAACACATTGCCAAGGAAGGTGTTCCCCGAGGCATATAACCTCCAGAAATTTAAGATATAACATCAATCCCTACCTTATTTTTCGTGGTTCTCACGATGTTCTCTGAACATTACAGGATATCCCTTTCCGTGGGAACCAGAACATTGAAAAAAAAATTTTTTGTGCATTGTGATGACATGTGCGAAATAATGAATAGCTGAAAAACACGATTTCTATGCCAAAATAATCGTGAAAAACTATTTCAATCACTTGTAAACAAATAAGAAGAGTGAGGTTGTGTTTCAATGTTTCACCACCAGGGTCGGTCATGTGACAGTTCTTGCACGAAACCCATTCGCGAAAACGGTGAATAAGTCCTAAAAATATTGATATTTTCAGAATGAGAAATTACATCCTGTCAAAAGTATTTATTACTAACCATGTGAGTGAACTATATTAGTGAACTTCCTCCCAACTGCTTTAGAGCGGTATCAAAACGAACCGGAACCATTGGAACAATCTATGAGTTTCAATCTTATTATGGCATTGTATGTTTCTTTTGATGCATCTATTATTTTGCTGTAGTTATTCTTGGTTTCAACGTATTCTGCTCTAGTCGCGAGGTTAGCGTTTTTGCACCAGCGATGGTTAGATATTTGTTTCAAGGCAACGGTTCTAGAATAGTTTTGCTTGAACCAGGGTTTCGAAGTGATGATATTTTCTAAGTATGAGATATGCATGTTTTCATTCCAAGCGGATATTTGAGCAGCACGATGTGAAGGATCCTCAGAGTCAATACATATTCTCTGCCAAGGAAACTTGGAGGAAACATACGGAGACCATTCCAGTGTCCTGAATTATAATGCCATACAAGACGTGGGGGTGCCAGAGTAGTTGATGAAATGACAAATGGGCAGGTTGTGGTAATGAGTGTGTGGTCAGCGTTGCCTCGAGGAGCTTATTGTACATCCATAGACTAAGGTGCTGAATGGCCTCAGAATGCGCAAGTTCCTTCCCATTTAACCGACTTCGTTTCATCTAGAGTCACTGGATGGTATTAGTTTGATAAGAGTTCGGACACAGAAATGACAACGGTTAGGGTTTTTGAATGTTTAGATTTATGAAGTTACACACCATGCATTGTGACAAGAGCATCATAGTCGTCCCGTGCTTTTTCATTAAAAATTTTTTGAATTTGACAATTCATTTTAAAACGTCAGAATTGAAATAAAATTTCATAACTTTTATACTTTCGAGATGAAAGCAGCTATGGAAATCACTTGCTGTATAATAAATTGTGCCAATTTTGAAACAAATGGATATCATTTATTCGATTTTCCAATTCGAATATCAAGCATTCGCTTATGGAAGGAAGATATGAAACGGCCTGGGTGGAAAACCTATTTGAAGACGAGCGAAATTTGTGAGGTACTCATTGAAATTAACTTCTTATAACAACAGCATCTGATTAGAATGAATCTATATTTTAGGCCCATTTCCAAACAGAAGATTTCAAAATCTGTTTGAGAGAATCTGCTGTTCCATCAATTTACAAAGCAGACGATTTCAAGAACAAAATTCCATCATTATCATCACACAAAATACAAAACAAAATTATCATGGAAGAAGGAGGAATGATCGCAAAATTACATTATGAAATTGAAAATTTTAAAACGAAACTAAGAAAAGCAAGTAAACTACAACGTGATATATTATTGAATGGCGTTTTTGGTGCTGACCGCGAATTCAAAATTCAACAGTGAAAAGTGAAAATATATTTATGTATCAAGGGAATTATTAAAAGTGCCTTAATTAAGCTGGAGGTTATCGTTTTGGAGATATTATCCATATCGATCCATGTTACTTAGCTCTTAGGGCGGGCGCTAAGTGAAGTTGCTGAGAACTTAACAAAACCAAGTATTTGGTAGGTCTCGTCAAAATAAATTCCTTTTTTCCATGAAATTTTTATCGAAAAATGATTTGTTCTCTGTATTTCAACACCATGTATCTCAGAAATGAAGCATTTCCAGACACAAGCTTATAAAGACTTTATTTCTTAAAATTATCTCAGGAATATATACTTCACTGGAGTACAGTTTCACATACAATAAGGAATTATAGCTATAAGTTTATCCATATGTATATATTCTCTGATATTAAAATGTTGTTACATGCATTTTTTTCATTTATATAAATCTTGCTCTGCTAGAAGGGTATCACTATGAATTGAAGTGGGTGTTTGTCCCTATATCCATTGTCCATCTACGGCTATGATTGATTTGACAGAAAATATAACCTCTAAAATCGTATCTGACAATCAGGCGCTACTAGGGAAATTGAAAAGACAAAGAGCAGAATATATGTCTTATTCTTTTATTCACTTAAACCATTGTATTATAGAAAATAGAAAAGGACAAAAGTTCAGCTGTGTCCGAACTCTTATCAAACTAATACCATCCAGTGACTCTAGTTTCATCTACCGTTTCCGAGATCCTTATTGTGCAACCTTATCATATTCAAACTATATATTTCGAGCATATAAAATGCATTTCACTCTGTATAAAAGCAGGCTTGTCCTGGGTGATTTCCAAGCAGAGGATTAAGTCTGAGAGTTTACCTCTCATTTCCCCAAGGAGTAATTAGTGAACAACGACACTTTGATAATAATCCCCGGAAGATTAAAATGCTCGATAGATGCTGCGGATTAGTTAGCTCCCATGGAACGGAAGTGACTTTATATAAAGTTGGTTCTGAACGTGTCAGCGCAACATAAATGTATATAAGTTTTACAACCCTTCGTTAGTTGATTACATTTGAATAATGAGGAAAAATATATGTGCGCAAAATCCTTCTTCCTATACCGAGTGTAGCAAGATCATGGTAGACACACTCTCTTCTACTGGTTTCATAGATGAATTATTAAAATTCGAAACGACTTATAAAGTTGATATCCGTCGCGTTCTAAAATAAAAATATTTGTTTGATTTTTGAACACCCAGAATATCATTGGTTCTTTGAATTCAACACAATTTTCTTGATCCAATGATATCACATAAGCGACATTTCGAACAATAATATTATGTTCTGAGTATGTACCAATATGTATGAATATTCTTTGAAACACAAAGTCTTATCATCTGCTAGGGTCACTGTGAAATTATCTGCTCCAACTGTATTCATTATGTCAGATGATAGAAACAGAAGAACATTTCGTTTATCATTCTGGTACCTAGGTACCATTCGTTGGTGCCTACTCATAAAAAGTATTTATCCATTGAAAGCCACTTCAAAACCTGCGATAAATCCACAAAGCCAACGTTGTTATTTTCTCTTTCCATCTGAACAAAGTTGAGGATATTTAGTTTTAGCTATGACAAAATGTTTCTAGGAAAAATGTGTAAATACTTATGTCGTTTGTGTTGAAAATATCCATTTTTGCTTTATAGAAATTTGAAAAAGAAGGGGTGCAGCTATATCGCTCGCGTTTGAAATTATCATATTTTTTTCAGTTCAATCTACAATCAATAACGTTGAAATAATCGATCCACTCAGAATATTGTTGAAGTTTGCACATTTTCTTGCAAACATTTTTTCAATAATGAATTGAGAACCTACCAGGAACAAAATGAGATCCTAACTGTCGTGGTCATACAAATATTGCTATACTTGGTCATTCAATAGCCAATAACTCCAATTTCACCAATCTATTGAAACTTTCAGTTACTCACCATCATTGTCACTGTTATCTTTTGAAGGTGTCGGTTCCCGATTTGGCAAACTTGCGTGAGTTACGCTAGGTAGAAAACTGTTCGTATATCTGGCAGGTGTCAAAGCCATCGTAAGGGAAACAGGTGGACTGAAACAATCAGATACAATTTCATTAATAACTGTTCTCTTTTATTTTATCCGAAAACCATGTAATATTTGGCTTACAATGATTATAATAAGTCAGGCAAATGGCAGTTTTACATTGCAAAAATTCCAGTAGTCGATTTTATCATCGTTGCCTATGTTTTTCGAGTTGCTGAATCCGGATCTGGAGTTATCCAACAAAATTTCCTTGTGCGTTTTGAGATACTTATTCGAAAAAAACCAGGAAATTTTCGCACTTTTTCTGGTTTTTCGCTTTAAATTCCAAAAAGTATGTGCAGTAGGAAAAACAAATCATGCATTATTTAAAGAAGATTAATCTTGATACAATTCGAGCATAAGATAGATAGATATGTTTATTTCCTCACAAATAATATTACGTAATATTTGTTGTAAGAAGAATAGTACGCACGAATGGAAAAGTTGATTCCATGAGTGCGTAATTGCTCCACAACACGTATTACGTACTATACTTTACCTACTGCCATATAGCACATCAAAAAAGTTTGTATAAACAGTCTGAATTATAATTCTTGACAGTTATGTCATCCGCTGTTGACGGCGATTACGCGATCATGATATACCTATAATACTGTGGCGGAATAAACGAAAACTGTGCGATGTGCTTACTGTGCGTAATGAGCTACTTACTGAGGCTGTATCTCGTGTGTTCTTTCCTGCTGTCTATAGTGGCCATAGTTAAATTACATTTCATGGCAAGAGTGTGAGAAAAGAAAATTTAGGTGTGGATATTACATATTATAACTAAAGATTAACATCATAATACAGATTATTAGTCCATAACTATACAAAGAGATTAAAAATATAACAAAAAGGTTTCGAAATGAGAAAATATATACATAATTAGAAGAAAGTACCTTCATCATTATATCATGCGTGTTAAACAACGCAAAAATATAACAAAAGGCGAAGATTCGAAAGCAGAGAAAGAGAGAGAGAGAAAAACAGTATTAGAAGTAGGTACCCTAGTTAAATATATATCATAATACTATTGCTATATAACGAAAAGCAATACTCTGAAGCAAAAAGGAATAATATCAGAATTAATTAGCAGCACTGTAGGTCTAATGGTTCACGAGATACACCACTTCAAATATGGGTGAATTTTTCAGAAAAAATTATATTTCCAGTTTTGAGTCAACTTCTGAGCTGAATATTGGGGAAAATACTGATCCGACGCGAAAAATGGTCGATGGTGAAGTTGTTGCTAAACTTTTCAGCTTCAATTATCATACAGAACGATCCAAGTAGATCAAATGGTTGACTCCTAATGTGAAAATAACAAAAAATTAGAAAATGCAATATTGGTACCATGTCAAACCCTCTTCATGTCTTGAAAACTTCGCGCGTCTTTCATGAATTTCCTTACTAGTGTTTCATATTATGTAGGATCATGATTTTACTGAGACAATATTACTTATGATTCAGATATGTAGAGGGAATCCTATTCGGTCGCTTTTCCAGCTCCATCTCAGCGTTATTGTTGAATTGATGAACTCTACTGAGAATCTCAGGAGCTGATTGGTTGAATGATCTGAATGATTCAATCAGCATTCATATATATCAGTATAAGAATTGTTGGTGGAGAGAATCAATACATTTTTCGAGAAATCGGTACTGAGGATGTTATTCGCATCATTAATGGAGATTTCATGTCAGTAGAATTGAAACGAACTGACCGAGTTTAGCCCCTAGCTCCAATCAACTCGAGCATTCACGTCTATGGTAAAGTACTCAAGGAGGGCAACAAAAAAGTATGACGTTGAAGTGGTCTTTACTGAAAATATGTCGTCAACGGTCTCTCAAGAACACTTCCTGGCAAACAAACATAACAAAATTCGCATGATCTCAGAGATAAACTGAACGAGGCCAAAATTGTATCACTACAAGCATAGGAGGATGCTAACAGAATGACTGTTACCACAGACATATAATTATCATCTGGTCACAATACAGTGTCTGTTATAGGGAAGGATACGGATCTCCTTGTACTGTTGATAGGATAGTCAGTTCCAGCCTACGGCGTCTACCTCCTCAAACCAGGAAGATGGAGGTTTCATCAGCTGGTCAGAAATATATAACCACCTTGTACGATGGAAACAAGCAAGGCTTCTGGTTGAGCTGCAGTTTACAAATATTATAAGTCTGTAGCTTATAAATACTCATAAAATATTAAAATATGACCGCTCCTCCCCCAACCAGAGCTGCAGCAAACCAACACATTTTCTACCTGATTCTGTGCATGTGCAGCTATGATGGCTTCCATGGGAAGAGCAGGAAAAGTTTAGCTAGAGGTAAACAAGCAACGGCCTACAGCCCATTACTTTCAATCAACCCCTTTTTTGCACCTTACAAGCTCCTTCAACTGGTTGTATGAAAGTGCGAAAAGGATGAGCAACGGCAATGTGCGGGCGTATAAAGGCTCAGCTATCCTGTTCTAATATATGTGAACCATGCGATGCATCCTGCAATGTTCATCACTATTATCTCGAAGAGGAAGAAGAACTAGCTGACAAAATGCAGGTACCAGTTCAAGGTGGACATAAATATCTGTGAACCAATCGCACCTGTAATCAACCCTTCATATTTGAGCACCTCACCCTCTTCTTCATTTTTTACTTACAAATAGTTCGGAGGTGAAGCTGCAACCACGGCCTTCTGGATTGCAGGGCCCTTCGTTACCAAAGCGCGTCTGAACGAGAACTTTTTGAACAAAGTTTCTTGCGCCTAATCATGTCAGTAATCTTTGATATTATTTTGCTATATCCAAAATCTTACATATGAAACACAAGTGAAAAGAATTCATGGAAGAACTGCGAAGTTTTCAAGTTAGAAAAATGGTTCAGGTGACATCTCATCAAAATCAGATTTTCTAATTTTTTTGTTTTTTGCATAATATGTGTCAATCATTTGATTTACTCGCTTCGCTCTTTATAGGGATTGGAGCTGAGAAAATCTACTACAATTTCACTTATTAAATATAAAATATAAAATATTTAGAAAAGTCTAAATGAGTATTTCGACATCTTATGGTTGCCCCTTCAGTAAAGGAATGAAAAAATGAAGATTAACTGACTAATTAATGTGTCTTTCGGAATATTCTCCAGAAATTAAGCGCGACAGTGGAAATTCGTGATACTATATAGACTTATAAAGGTTCGTCTTTGTATTCTGATCTAATCAGTACTTCTCTAAAGTTTTGTGTTGACATCATCATCGATTAGATGAATTCCTCTCTCTTTTCAGTGATCTCACCCATGATTTATTACATCAAAAGATTGCAGTTAGATAATGCCTGTATGAGAGCCAACAGAGCGATAACACTAATCTTTTGAAGTTTTAGCATCTGACGGTAGTTGGTTTTCCAACATACCTGCTGTCAGATCAGAAGCTTTGACTAATCATGCTCACGCTTGTGTAAGGTTATAGTTCAGTGATCGTATCATCGGCTAAAATCAATATGGAAAACACATTTTCAGGACAGTTCTCAGATTTGACAATGTACCTACAAAATAACATCCAGTTTCGTAGGATCTCAAGAAAATGAATAAAACTAATATAATTTCCAAATAAAATCTATACAGGGTGGTTTAGTTCAAGCATATCAAAATCTCAGTGGAAAAGGTTCAGTAGATTTTCTTTATATCCCCAATATTTCCTTGTTGAAACACCAGTGGAAACACATAATACTCCTACACACAAAACACCTTCCAAATGGAATGAATTCCTAGATCAAGGTTTTCATTTTTGGATCTGAAGTCTGATACAAAGCATAGATCTGAATGTGTGTATTTAGATCTATTTACAAAGCAATGAAGGCTCATTTCACTCAGACAATTAGATAGCAAAGGTGAGTCATGTCAATCATGATTTTCAGAAGATACTTGATAATAATAATTAGGATAAAACATGAATATGAAATCATCTTTACGTAGAATTATTATTTTAATTCATTTCACTAAAACATGTGGAATAACAGCAGTATTTATTCATTCTCAACATGTCATGTGATTTTGACTTCCTTCACTGTATCATGTAGGTACTCAAAATTGAAAAATGTCCCTTGCAAATATAAGAATGATTTGTTGCAACGGTATATGCACAACTCACAAGGTATAATATATGTATGCCTTTTCACACTGAATATATGTAAATATAACAATATATTATAAGATTTTCTGTAGGATATTCAATGAGCATCACTTCATGTATATAATCTACTTCAATACGACATAATTTCAGTTAATGAAAAATAATGAATCTTGATAACATTAGTTCTCATTAAAACTTTCACAACACATGTTCAATTCTTAATTACATCACATCGACGTATTTGGGATTGAATTCCTTTCTAAATGATGGATCACAAGTATATAGTAGTACTATATTGAAAATTCTGAAGTGGAATAGTTCTCCGTTGAAATAAATATCGATGGGTCTGATTTTTTCTACGAATTCAAATATGATAAGTTTTAGCTTTAGATAATATAGGTTGTCTTTGGCTTGCGATTTGTCAGATTATATGAGAATTTAATGGCCAGTGAAATAGTCATAATAATAAATTATCCAAAGTGACATGAAGACAACCTAGGTTGAATGTAAAGACTATAGAAAGCTATATGAAGAGTTGGAAAGCGACCCCATCATGGGAATGCCAACGGATGGCATAATTCCAAAATATAGCTTTGAAAAAACTTTTAAAATAAGTATAACGGACAGAGAGGCATGGAAGGAAGGACCTCCTATCAATGCAGACATTGCTGTCTATACGGACGGCTCCAAAACTGAGTTTGGATCAGGAGCCGGTATTTATGGGGCCAAGCCAAAGACAAGAATCTCACTGAGCTTAGGTAAATACGCGACGGTGTTTCAGGCAGAAATTATTGCAATACATCATTGCGTGAAAGAATTGACAAGGCAAGAGTTTAAAGGCAAAACCATTGCAATCTATTCAGATAGCCAGGCGGCAATCAAAGCAGTCAACTCTATGCAAGTTAACTCAAAACTAGTATGGGACTGCTTAGAAACCCTAAATGCACTGGGCAGTCAGAACAGACTGACTCTAGCATGGGTACCAGCACATACAGGGTACGAGGGCAATGAAGAGGCAGACTCACTTGCCCGAGCAGGAGCAAACAAAGCTCTGAATGGCCCAGAACCCTTCTGTGGTATTGCGAAAGCTATACAAAAGACTAGTATCAAATCATGGATGCAAACCAAATCTCAAGAATGGTGGAACAAATCGCCAGGAATGAGACAGGCAAAAGAGTTTATTAAAAAACCATCGCCAACATTCACAGAATATCTACTAAGCCAGAAACGAAGTTCAACTAGAATACTAGTGGGACTTCTCACAGGGCATTGTAGGCTCAACAAACACATGAGTACGATAGGTCTGACTGAAGAACTGCTGTGCAGGTTCTGTCAGGAAGAGGAGGAAACAGCAGTACACATACTTTGCCACTGTGAGGGCTTGTCAAGACTAAGGTTCCTTACGCTGGGTGAGGAAAAACCAGAAGCCCAGAGATACACAGGGGATCTGAAAGCTAGCCTATGGAGTCTCATAGAGAAGACGGGGCTAGCCGAAGAACTCTAATCGATTTTGAGGGCAGACACAATAGATCTGAAAAGGTCGCGGTGTGGAGGCAGATAGCCCGAAGGCCCCATTCTAAATCTAATCTAAATCTAACCTAGGTTGAATAATAACCACACGAGGACTCACCCAAAAACTCCAACAGCTACAGCAGCTTCTCTGAGGGCCCTTTCTTGTTCTGCACTCATATCCCTCAAGGTTTCTGGTCGAATGGTAGCAGTGTTCCTCGGTTGTCTTTCGTTTTGAACAGCTAAAATTATAACTTTTAGAACAATTATATCATCTCACAAATTTCTTCAAAACAAATTATTCATCTATCAGACAACACATCAGGACTCTGAAGATTGGCGTTAGGAGTTGTGTGTAATGAAGGGGTGCCAAACCAAGCGCAAGTTCCTCAGTTCAATTCAAAAATAGTTATTTATACATCAAGGTAGTAAATAATATCATTACCCAGGGGTAAAGGTTATATCTCGAGGCTTCAGCCTGTGGTAATATTATTTATTACTACCAAGGTTTATATTACATTTTTTTCACCCCTAGACATATATTTCAGTCAATTTAGTTCTGTGAAACCGAAATATGGACCTATATTGTCACTATATAAGCACTTATTTCCAATTCTCAGCAATGGCCATGACAGCATATGACAAGTCGTTATTGATATAAATACATACTATATTCCAGTGCCATCCCTGCGAATATCTGATCAGAACAGTGCGTTCGGGTTAATTACAACATGTCTTTATTGGATAGTGGTTCATGAAATAACGAAAACTACCATGGTAGTAAAAACACTCTTCACGCCTCGGAAATGAGTAAATAATGGTATGTTTTATAGCAAGTGGTGAAAAAACTTTGTATATGCACCGTTGGCAATTGTGAGGAATTTTTAAAGCACCACAAATTCATGGAACTAGGACTGCCAATCGCCTATGATGCACTTGTAGTTTGTTATGTGCTCCCCTTTACTCCCATAAGTATTGTACGTCAACATTCTAAAAGCGACTGTTAGGCCAGTCATTGGGGATTGTTACCTGGAAATAAGTCCGAAAGTTTTGAAACTTTGTAGGTTTATAGGTTTGGCGATCTAGAACCAAAATTCACAAAATGCACATTCCGAGGCATGCCGCCGGCTTGCCAAGATGGCGCCCTAAACTGTGCGTTTTCCGAATAAATATGTTGAGACAAAAATTGAAGTAAAAAAAATGCCCACCAAGAAATGTTCCTAGTAAATGTGTGCTTAAGTGAGCCGTTTAGGCTCAAGAGCTGATTGAATGACAACATATTCTGTTAATCTCTTTAAACTGCCCATAACAATCACCATATAATAAATATATGCGACTAAATTCATCTTTTTCAATAAAATAGGTTATTCCATTGGTTTCTCGTTATATTTATAGCTTGCTGACTAGAAGAAATTTCCTATCAAAATATGTTCCTAGTATATTTTCGCTAAAGTTAACCGTTTAGGCAGTTCTTACAGAGAACATTTCTTGTAGGGAATTTCTTCCTCTTCATCGTTTTTATCCACATATTTTTCCGGAAAACACACAGTTTTGGAGATAAATGATAAAATCAACTTTTGGGTGCCATCATGACAATATGGCGGCGCCGGCGGCATGTCTCGGAATGTGCATTTTGTAAATTTCAGTTCTGAGCATCCAAACCTACAAACCTGCGAAGTTGAAGCTGGATGGCGCTTTCATCGCGACATGTTATCTTTGCATCTAACTCTACCTTATTTTCTCTGTACCTGTATCTTCCATATGAATCAAAATAGCGCCACTTTTTTTCACCGAGAAATATGCATCATAACGTGACAATTCGTTTTGATGTTCTAGGTGCTATTTTGTGGCATTCCCAAGAGGTCGGCTGTTGTTTAATATCGCGCGATTTTGACCCTTGGTGAAATGTCCGAGCGCTATTTTGTCCCACACTATTTTGGCGCTCGCCATTTTGTCGAGCGCTGTTTGATAACAGAGCCAATACTGAGTTATCATAAGAAAACTTCAACAAATCATTTACCTGAAACGTCGCAAGTTAGGACACCTATATTATTTAGAAACACCTTGTATAAGTTCAGAGAAGATGGGTCAAACCATAGATCTATGGTCAAACAGTTGAAAATAACCACCAAAAGCGCATTCACCCGATTCCGGACTGATGCGCCTTCTCCATTTATTAGAAGAGGAGGGCCCAAAGAACCGGTGATATATTATCCCTATTTTCATCTATCATTTGTCTGTAAAACAAAGCCGGCTGTCTCTGGAATGGCAGAGCATCAAAAACAATTTCATCCTGTTAAATCTCAGGACTCCATGGCCGTTTTGCAGCCGTCTATTCAAGATTGTAAATTACAGCTGTGTTCCGTTCACTGTTTAAGCGCTCGCGGATTAGACTGTGACTTATTAAATAGTTCTATAATTCTGATCCTCTCGCATCTTCCTCTGTGATCATTCTTTAGACCGAGTGAAATAAATATAGTGATGGAAGATGTAAGTATTCCATTATTCTAATACTGTCATATATGATTTGATATTTATATTGGTTATAGTAAAGCTTAATTCAGACCCACCCTGTATTTATTTCACTTGTATATCAATTGATAGTACATGAATAGGTAAGATAGCGACATGAAAACCGTTTTGATCAATTATGAATAGTATCAACATAAAAAAAAATCCGATTTTTCACACCCTATATCTTTGTTATCATTCCCGCTAGACCCCAAGTGTAATAAATCGATGGAATCAGCTCCTCAGCGAGAATCTGAAAATCGAATGATATATAGGGTGTTCCATTGAAAAAATCAAAGTTGTTGCTATACTTTTCAATATGAGCGGCAACGTCGCAACGCTGAGAATATATTAGGCTCCAACTTTCCAGAATAATACTGAGTTGCGTTCTCCTGTCTTATGTGCCATCCACCGTGAATCACCCTGTAGGTTTGGTATACAGAATTTCAGTTATATGGGCTGTACAGTCGCTCAAGTAGCTTCATAGGTAACCACATCGTATGGTAGTCATAATGATGGAGTATAAAAATCAAAAAGTCATTATGGTGGCATTTGTTGATTGTTTAGATGGTTTATAGACCTAATTGGAGTTGCATGTTTCAACTCATAGATTTGATTGCATATCTCTATGAACTGAAAGCCAACATTTTTCGCTTTTGGGTGTATGATAAATTGACATTCATCATACAGGGCGTAGAAAGAAATTCTGAATTGAGACTCTATCACGAATCTGCGATTAGAGGTCTATAAAAATCACAAGTTTCGATCGTTCAAGTTTGAACTCCCTGATTGGGTATGAAAGTGTTGAAAAGGAATGATTATTTTTGGAAGTTCTCAAGCTCATCAAGATCAGAGTTTATGCCAGTATACTTCTCCTATACATTCCAATTTTCATTTCAATGCTGAATTTATTGGTAAGTTATATTTTTATATCATTATACATCATATTATTCATCCGATTTGATGAAGAATGTCAATTCTCAATTTCGGAGGATTTTATTTTTTATTTTTCATGTTCTCCTTTTGGATGTTCATCAGATATAATTCAATGTTCGACGTGGCAAATAGCCAGGAAAGTATAGTTGTTTTTTGTTGAATATTCAGAATGATGTGTGCATATACATATTTTTGTCTGAAGGAGAATACAAATTCTCAATTTCAGAAGATTTTATATTTTATTTTCAAACTATTATCGTGTGTGTTCAATAGATATAATTCAATGTTCGTCGTAGTATATAGCCAGGAAAGTAGTTGCTTTTCTATTGAATAAACTGAAAAAGAGTTAATATTCTCATCACATAAAGAATACGAATTCTAAATGTATTGCTTTAGGTATATAAATATATTTTATTTGTTAGTTGGGAAATGTCATTCAGGTCTTCCTGCAACACTTTAGACTACATTCACTAGCTGCCCCTCCACCAAAACTTAAAATCAAATAAAAATGCCTATATCGAATTATATTGGTTTAGCTGAGTAAAGAGAAATGGTAAAAAAATCAATCTGTTTCATTTCTGGTCGATCACCTCGTAAACACAGGCAAATTGACAATGAACAACTTCAAATGAGAATTGGAAATAGATAATTATGAATCGATCAAATACAATCACGTAAATGGAAATTGAATATATATAGAAATTAATCAATTTCAGATTCGGTGGATATTCAATTAACTTGGTATCAAATATAAAATTGACAGGAACAAGTTGAAAGAATAAAGTAAGTCCCTATTCTGCTTTCCTATATTGTCTGCACATCTTTTCTGTGTGGAATGCATCATATTCCTGAATTGAAATTTTCGGCTTTGAGTTCAAGATTTCTGATTCTAATTCGCAGTTGTCGATTATCGAGTTGCTTAGGCTTGGATTGAATTCGTTCAGATTGGGATAATCTTCGATTCTCTTCTGGATTATATTATTCCTGAACAATATCGATCCTCAGCATCATAGCTTTCAATGTGTTCATATCAATTATAATGAATTGTTTATAAAATCCATATCATAATATATGATTGAGGAATATTCAATTAAATTTCAATCGATCCTAGATAATCAAACATTGTTAGGATATCTCCTGAAACACGAATACCTGGTGATCATGATAACAATGATGATAATAATAGTAATAATATTGATTTGGAACTTGAAATGAATCGACTAAAAAAAGCCAAAATGCTCGAAGTGGAATAAAATGAATGAATGAATGAATAAATACTCGAAGCTCAAAGTCATTACCACAATAGTTCATAATGAACAAAAATAGTACATCATAACGAGATAATGCGTGGCATATAGCCAGGAAAGTAGTTGTTTTTCTGTCGTTCATGTCATGATTCATAGTGATAATAGCTTTTAGTTTCGAGTATTTATTTATATGTAGGTATATCGCTGGACAATCTCAGAGATCTCCAATTATGATTTGAATCTAACAACATAGATAATCATTTTCCAACGAATGTTATACAGAATATATAACCTCAGAATGAGTTATAGATACTTACTTATGATATCTTTCTTGTTTCGATACATTAGGTATTTCCAATATTTAACAGATACCTATAATAATAAGAACAATATTCTTGTCGTATGAACCAAGGGTGCCAAGAAAGGGGTTGTTTTCTATTATATATTTCAACCAATGATTTGCTTACTCTTCGAAAAGCATCACTTTTGTAAAGGAAATTGTCAGAGACAGTAGAATGATAATCATATTATAGCATAGTGGAGTTTCC